AGGGCAGAGTGGTGGTGAACAGACAGAGGGCAGAGTGGTGGTGAACAGAGGGCAGAGTGGTGGTGAACAGACAGAGGGCAGAGTGGTGGTGAACAAAGCACAGGGCTTGGGAGGCACAGGGAGAAAGGGGAGATGTTCAAAGGGGACAAAGTTTCAGTTAGACAGGAGGAGTAAGTTTAGCGACCTACTACACAGGATGGGTACCTAAAGTTATTACAATAATGTATTGTATATTTAAAAATTGCTAAATGAGTAGATTTTAGGTGTTCTCATCACAAAGAAAGGATGAGAGGTGATAGATGTTAATTAGCCTCATTTAATCAATGACATTTATATGTATCATAAATCATACTGTACCTTATAAATACATATACAAAATTATTATTGATCACTTTTCAAAATATATTTTTAAAAAATAAAGGAAAAAACTTACAGAAGATTATAAAAACCAAAACATTTTGCTAAGTGAAAGAAGCCAGTCAAAAAAGGTTACATATTGTATGTATTATAAGAGTTGAATTGATCACAGATGAGCACTGTGTGAGGGGAGGTGGTCACACTGTGAGAGGAGGCAGTCACACTGTGAGGGGACGTGGTCACACTGAGAGGGGAGGTGGTCATACTGAGAGGGGAGGCAGTCACACTGTGAGGGAATGTGGTCACACTGAGAGGGGAGGCGGTCACACTGTGAGGGGACATGGTCACACTGAGAGGGGAGGTGGTCATACTGTGAGGGGACGTGGTCACACTGAGAGGGGAGGCGGTCACACTGAAATGGGGAGGTGGTCACACTGAGAGGGGAGGAGGCCACACTAAGAGCAGGTGGTTGTACTGTGAGGGGAGGCGGTCACACTGAGAGGGGAGGTGGTCACACTGTGAGGGGAGGCGGTCACACTGTGAGGGGACGTGGTCACACTGAGAGGGGAAGTGGTCACACTGAGAGGGAGTCACACTGTGAAGGGAGGAGGTCACACTGAGAGGGAGGAGGACACACTGAAATGGGGAGGAGGCCACACTAAGAGCAGGTGGTCGTACTGTGAGGGGACGTGGTCACATTGAGAGGGGAGGTGATCACACTGAGAGGGGAGGCGGTCACACTGAGAGGGGAGGCGGTCACACTGTGAGGGGACGTGGTCACACTGAGAGGGGAGGTGGTCACACTGAGAGGGGAGGTGGTCACACTGAGAGGGGAGGTGGTCACAGTGAGAGGGAGTTGCACTGTGATGGGAGGTGGTCACACTGAGAGGGAGGAGGACACACTGAAATGGGGAGGTGGTCACACTGAGAGGGGAGGAGGCCACACTAAGAGCAGGTGGTCGTACTGTGAGGGGAGGTGGTCACACTGAGAGGGAGGTCACATTGTGAGGGGAGGAGGTCACACTGAGGGGGAAGTGGTCACACTGTGAGGGGAGGTGGTCACACTGTGAGGGGAGGTGGTCATACTGTGAGGGGAGTAGGTCACACTGAAAGGGGAGAAGGTCACACTGTGAGGGGAGGTGGTCACACTGTGAGGGGAGTAGGTCACACTGAAAGGGG